CCTGGACCTGAGGGGATAATGCACTTTGCATGGAAAGGATGGATACCCAGTTATTGGAATTAGTGCTGCCACAGCCATCAAGCAATACTCGGTAGGTTATTAGAAAAGAAAAATTTTCAAAGGCAAGAACTGGGATTATTTCTCTACATATTCAGAGTGCCTAGAATATAGAAGTTATTTTGTAAATACTGGTTCCGCTGAGGCTGGGGAAGTGCAGAAGTGTAGAGGAAGATGCTCTGGTGTCAGGGATGGAAGGAAGGAGGAGAGGGGGGTGGCATTTGCAGGCCTCAGTCCTGCCCTTTGGGGGCTCAGCGGGAAGCTGCTGGTCTTTGGCCGAGGCCACAGAGGTCCCTGTCTTGCTGGCCTCTTCTCCCTCACTTCAGCTCCATCCCATCTACCCTTCCCGATGTCTGCAGATCCCTGGTGAGACTCCCTCTACGGAGAGGCCTGGGCCAGCTACAGGCCAGGAGGGCAGGACATTCAGCAGCAAATGGGACCTGAGGGCCACTTGCACATAGTACTCAATGCAAGGAAAGCACTCTGCAGAAAATCAAGAAGATAAGAGGTTTCTTTCTTCCTTCTCCTGTTTTGTTCTTTTTTTTTTTTAAATGATTATAAAAGTAACACATGCTCACAGGGGAAAATGCAACAGTATAAAAGCCTCTTGCCATTGCTAATTCTATTCCCTAAAGCTAACTAATGTGCTGGCTCATACCTGTAATCCCAGCACCTCTGGGAGGCTGAGGCAGGAAGATGGCAAGTTTAATTAAACCCAGCCTGAGCAATTTAGCCACTCAATGAGAACCTGTCACAAAATTTAAAAACAAAAAAAGGGGTAGAAATATAGTTCTAAGGGAAAGCCTTGAGTTTAATCCTCAGTACCATAAATAAATTTTGGGGGACAATGGTTGTAGTTTGAGACAGGGTCTCCCTATTTAGCCTAAGCTACTCTCAAAATCATAATACTCCTGCTTCAGCCTTCCAGGTGCACAGATTAAAGTTATTTGCCACCATATCTGGCTCGTGTTAATAATTTGAGAAATCTAGAAAGGTACTTTATTTTTTTTTTAGAAATGTACTCATACAAAAGCATCTATACACACAACTCACAGATACAGAACCTGTGTATGTGTACACATGTGTAGATGGACAGAGAGATGGAATGTGATAGTGTCTTGGGATAGAAGGAGAAAATAGTGGTCCAAGAGTATAAACTAAGAGGGTTCAGTTGGAGGCAGAATCAAAAGGCTGAGGAAGCTGGGCACCATGGCATATGCCTGTAATCCCAGCATTTGAGGAATGAGCAGGAGGATCCACAAGTTCAGGTTAGCCTAGGCTACACAGCGAGTTCAAGAGTTCAAGACTGGGCTGCTGGACTACACAGTGAAACCCTGTCTCAAATTTTAAAAAAAAGGAAAGGAAAGGCCCTGAGAAGGGCTGGGGCCAGGCCAGGCGGGAGAAGCCATGGCAGAAAAGCATGCAGGCAAAGCTGGCAGAAATGCTTAAAAAAAATTAAATTTTTTTGTTGCCAAAAACCTAGTCATTTAGGTGGTGAAAACTCACTATCTAGTAAGCTTCAGCGTCCTTAAATGAGAAACGGGGTAAAAGTGCAGATTGATCGTGAGGATTGTAACAGAGCTGAGCGTTGTGTGTCTAGTGCGGCCTGTGACCCATTACCTGCGTGCTGGGGTGGAACCCAGAGCCCCCAAGCGTGCTGAGGGAGCCACAGAGGCCTACCTGTGTACATTTACTGTGGTGGTGGTTGTTACCCTCACAGTGGGTGCTGGGGCTCTTGTCAGATTGCTCGGCAGTAATCCCTCCCTTGTCCACTGGCAGCAGGTGCGCAGAAAGGACCTCCAGATGGCATGCTTCTTTACCTGCCGATTCACTTTTCTTCTGTGCTTCTTCTGTGTGTGCTTTCAACGTGATACTTTATGGTGTCCACCACGAAGCAGACTTTCTGGTAGCTGGTGGCTATAAATCCTTAGAGGCACGTAGAGATCTTTTACTGAGCAAGGGTCAGGGTTTGTTTTGTTACTTCTCCCTGGGCTGCTTCCAAGCTGCGGAGTGTGATTGCCTGTATGTTACTACCTGAGGATACCAATCAGAATTGTTTGCTTAAGAAAAATACCTGAGAATTGTCAAGGCAGTTCTGTTAATTGTCTGCATTTTAATAGCATCATTGACTCTGAAGCACATCCTGAGATGGGCTCAGGTGCCTGTGACTTTGTCCTGGGAAATTCTGTGTGTTTCTACTCCTATTGAGAATAGCTGGTTTAAAAACTCTAAGCTTTTGTGGGCTGTATCCCGAATGCTCTTGGTTGTCACCAAAACTGAGCCTGCCCACGCACTCTTCTATTCTTGATTTATAAATAGGTTCAGCTCCCTAACAATTACACACTCTCTACTTTGCACATGCATATTCTTTAAGGAGATTTTTAAAGGGTAGATGGCTTTTATTCCTCTTTTAAAAAAACCCCAAAATCTGCCTAGGTTGGCCTTGAACTTTCAACACCCTCCTGCCTCAGCCTCCCAAATTCTAGAATTAAAGGCATGTACCTGCACTTTTACTCTTAGAAAGAGTTATCTGGAAACTAACTTACTAAGTGGGATTTTTTTTTGTTTTACCACAGGATCTCACTATGTAGTTTAAACTGACCTTGAACTCACTATGTAGACCAGATTGGACTTCAACTTGCAGTGATCTTACTGACTCAGCCTTCTAAGTGCTGCAATTACAGGCCTGTGTCACCACACCCAGCTTTAAGTGGTCATATGTGGAAGGATGGTGATGAGTGAGGCTTTTGGTTTACAAAGACCAAGAAACAATCTCTAACATGCTCAGGAAAAGCCAGTATCAAATTTCTCACAGATTGTCTCAGGGACAGGCCCAGGACTGGCTTGTGCATGTCAGAGAACTGTGCACAGCACACTTTGTATCATACATGGCCACATATGCTGTGGCTGTAAGAAATACTTGTGACAAAGATGATAAAATGCTAGAGAAGAGAAAGAAAAGGAGGGGCTGAGAAAGCAATGAAGATGTAGTCTTGGGTATAATGAATGACTTTGTTAGAAAGGAGGAGTGGCACTGCAGATCTACCTGGCCAGGGGAAAGTGCCATGAGTTGGAGTTCCAGTTCTGGGCAGAACTGGGAACTGAATAATACTCGTACTGTGCATTATATGGCTCTTGCAGACCTGGCACTTCATTCATTTTTCCATGTAATGCAATGGGGGGAGGTGCTGAATACCATTTTTTTTTTTTAAATGGTCTCTTTATGTAGTTTAGGCTGGCCTGGAACTTGTAGCATGTGCCTGTCTCAGCTTCCAGTGTGCTGGGATTACAGGCGTGCACCACCATCCACTGTACCATTGCTCTGCAGGATAGAGGAACTGAAGCCAAGCCAGGGAAGAGACTTGTGGTTTTGATATTGGGCTGGGATGTGGCTCCTTGGCCTCCCTTTGCTTTGCACCCAGCAAGTTGTTTTACACAACATCCGGTGCAAGCCACTGGGCCTGTGGCATCAGCCTACGGAGTCAGTTTCCGTGACACTAACGCAGCCCAGATGCTCTTGGACAGCAGGTCACAGCAGTCGTGGAGGGCCAGGGACTGGAAAGCCTGCAGACGTGAACAAGCGGACTGTGTCACGCTGGTCAGCTATCAGGGATGACAGAACAGGAAACGCCCAGGGGAGTGGTAGAGGGCAAAATGCCTGACTCCGTAATTTGCACGTAATCAAAGTGGAAGAACTGAGGCAGCGATCAGGTAAGTTTCCATTTATAATTAAAAGAAACAATAAATAAATAAAATACAGGTCTGGTCTCTTTCGCATAGCCTGGGGCACAGAGTTGCAAGGCGAGGAATTCGGTCCGACCAGTTGGGGGCTCCACTGAGCGCAGGCTCCGAACCCAGCCCAAACGCTTCCCTCCCGGACAGGCCGCCGGGGGCGC